TATATACACGAGAATAGTAGAAGTTAAGTTGTCTTTCCAAACTTTTTTTAGAGGATTTGTCTAAAAATGCTGTTCTAATAAAAACAGATTATTAGATTGAAAATTCTATTATATAAATCATGTATGTCAAATTTTATATTGATTTACCATTTAAAATCTTTTGATAAAAAAATTCTATTTACTAATATATATTTAAAAATATCAAATTTCTTGTAATCAAATGAAGTTATTAGGCCTAATAGAATAATTTGAAAACTAACATGCATAATTTATATAAATAGAGTTTTCAATCCAATAATTGATTTTTAAAAATATTAATTAAAAAATAGTTTTTAGATAAATCTTTTAAAAAAATTTAGAAAGATAACTTACAAAATACTTTTCTATACACACATATATAGAGGGTTAAGGCCATCTATCGTCCCTCTACTATCAAAAATAGTGCATTCTAAACCTTCTACTATGAATTGGTTTCATGTCATCCCTCTAGTATTAATTAACTCTACCTATCGTCCCTCTACAATGCAAAACCATGCTAATGTCGTCCCTCCATCCAATGCAAGCTAACGGTGTTGTTTATTGACCGTTAAGTTAAATGGTCAAACCAATTAGGCTTTTTTTTTTTTTCTTTTTGGTTACCACCCTTGTTTGTGGGCCCCTCCCTTGCAAAGAAAGTTTTATTCAAGGGTACTTTTCTGGCCTGCATGGAAGATTGGAAGTGAAAAAAGCAACAGCTAAATTAAATTCTACAATAGATCTATTATGTAAATCATAAATAAAAAAATTAAAATTCCTAACTATTTGGAGTTTCTTTTTGTCGTTTTAATTACTATTTTTTTATTGTGGTTTGTTTTTCTTCCTTCCTTAACCTTATTTTATTTGTATTTTATATTGACTCAAATGAACATATGATTTATTTTTCGAATCTAAGAAATTAAAGATTATCATTAAATATTTAGGTTGTTGATCTATTATACATAATTAGTTCAATTACCATTAAAGATTATCTCATTGCACTAAATCTATATGATGGATTTAAAGTTTATTTGGTCTAATAAATAAACACTTTAGATAAGTAAAAGAAAAGAAAATAATGCGCTGTCAGGACTTGAACAATTTATAAATTTTGAAGAAATTTTAACCATTCTGCTATAGAAATTTCTTTATTAATTTGTGAACAAAAATAACTTTTACATAAAGAAACCATTAAACAGGAAAAAAAAAAAAGAGGAGAAAAAAAAATTCCTTATGTCATGATTGTAGCGGAATTTCTAAAATTGCCAATAAAGAAAAACAGGAAGAGACATTTGGTTACTATCTTTTGTAAGAATTTGAATATTGAGAGATCCTATTTTGCTTCAGTAACCAAATGTCTCTTTATGTTTTTCTTTATTTGCAATTTTAGAAATTCCGCTACAATCATGACATAAGGAATTTTTTTTTCTCCTCTTTTTATTTTTTCTGTTTAATAGTGTATCTATGTAAAAGTTATTTTTGTTCACAAATTAACAAAGAAATCTCTATAGTAGGATGGTTAAAATTTCTTCAAATTTTATAAATTGTTCAAGTCCTGATAGTGGATCATTTTCTATAGGTCTCAACCACATCACATCCACCATGCAATTGTGATAGGATGCCCTGACCTGATTTTCCATTTTTTTTTTTTTTGTTTTATTATGTGCATCAACTCCAGTTATTAAATTTATCTTGTCACATATTTAGCTTCATAGTCGCAAATTTGCTGGGAATTAGAAAGGAAAGGTGCTCCTATATTTCTAACTTCTACCACTATTATTTTAGTTGTGTTTTTGTTTTAATTTTTTAAAAATCAGACTAATTTATTTATAAAACGAGATTTGTGTGCCCAAATTTTATAATCTAACATTTTTTTGGATCCTTCAATAATCTGACAATAAATATTTGTACTCTTTTAAGGTTGAAATATAAAAACGTATTTATTCTTAGAAACTAATTTTGGACGAAATTTTGAAATTAAATTTCTATAACTATTAATTATATGGGTTTATATGAAATGCACATCATAATGAATAATTACTAAAATTCGTTTTAAATTGAGGTCTTAAAGATTGCTTTCAACCATCACTATCCAATGTGAAATTGTAAACCTTTTTTTAATGGAGAAATTGAAAACTATTAATTCTTTGCCTAACCGTTCGTTCATTTTCTTTTTTCATTTTTTTATGAATAGTAGTTCTTTGATTTTTATTTGTTTCGTTATCTTTTATTAATATTTTTTTGGTCTTCGTTTTTTTATTATTATTTATAATTATCTAAGAAAAAGGTATTTATCAATCATACCCCCCGCAAATTTAAGAATTCCTTATGCTAAAACTACAGTATATCTCGATAAACTCACCTTAGTTTCAGACCATAGAGTATCCTCGAATAAAACTGTTTTTCTTTGTAAGGGAAGGGCCCACAGACAAAGGTGGCAACCAAAATGGAAAAATAAAAAAAAAAGCCTAACTGGTTTGACCGTTTAACTTAACGGTCAACAAAAAACACCGTTAGCTTAGGTTGGAAGGAGGGACGACATTAGCATGGTTTTGCATTGTAAAGGGACGATAAGGAGAGTTAATTAATAGTAGAGGGATGACGTGAAGCCAATTCATAGTAGAAGGTTTAGAATGCACTATTTTTTATAGTAGAGGGACGATAAATGGCCTTAACCCCATATATAGATGAGGATAGCTACCATAGACAAGTTGTCCTTTCAAAATTTTTTTAAAAGGATTTATTTAAAATTTTACATTCTAATTAATGTTTTTTAAAAACTCATAAGTTGAATTGAAAGTTCTATTTATATAAATTAGGTATATTAATTTTTATATTGATATAGTATTTTTAACCTTTTTATCGAGAAAATTCTATTTCTTAATATATATTTAAAAATGTTAAATTTTTTTATTTTTGTAATCAATGAACTGAGTAGATCTACTATAATAATTTGAAAATTGATATGTGTAACTATATGAATAAAATTTTCAATTCAATAATTAGTTTTTAAAAATATTAATTAAAAGATAAATTTATATATATATATCCTTAAAAAAATTTAGGAGAACAACTTGCAAAACGTTTTTCTTTATATATATAATGAAAAATAGTTTATTAGCTGGACCTTCAAAAATAAAATAAAATAAATTCTAAATTACATCATTTTGTTAAAAAACTACGAAAAAAATCAAAATAAACTTATTCATATTTTAAAAATGAGTTAGTTTATTTTTAAAAAAATAAATTTAAGAAAAAACATAATTTTAACATGTTTTTCCTTCTGATTTTTTAAAAATTTGACTCACAAACATTTTATATGTATATATGGAGGCAAAATGAGCAACTTTATTATTAAATATTGAAAAAAAAAATTTATCATGAATTAAATTGAAAGTTAATATAAGTCCATGATGAAGAAAACAAGAAAATGAAATTACATGGAGGCAAAAACTTACCTGATTTCCATCATTTTGATTAAATGGACAGAAAAATGATATATGTACCATCTTTCTTTACACATCTCATCACACACGAACGGTATCTGTTAGGCACATTTACGGTCTCCCTTACCGTTACACACCCAACCGCTAAACTTCTCCATCTCCTTCGACTCTAGATTTTTTTGGGTAATCAAGGAAGAACCCAAACTAATTTGATCAAACATAAAATTGCTACCAAAAAAAGGAGAAATTTCAAGAAAACTTAATTTGATTACCTGACCACCGTAAACTACAATACCTCACCGACTCACTGTCAAACCCTGTCAATCTCCAAATCTAGGTTCTCAATGGAGAACCATGAGATGAGAATAGATCGATGAACATGCGGTATAAAACCAAAATCTCAAGATGAATAGATGAAACCAAAATCGACAAATTTGGTTCTGAAGCCTTGTATGTGTGTTCCCCTATTTTGAAAAGGTTCAAGAAAGGAAGAGGCCTCTAGGGGAAGATGAAGGTCAGGGAAGAAAGCCAATAGAAGTTTGCAGGGGAGAAGAAAAATGCTTCTAATTAAATGCTTAATTACCTATTCTAACCATTTAAATTTGTCCCTATTCCTATAATCTCAACAACAAAATTCATCTCTTCCATTGGGACTTAAATCCATCCATTTCTACCATTTTGTTTTACTATTAACTCTCCCCCTCAAAACTTAGATTTGAAAATCCACGAAACCAAAAATGGAGATGGAGAAAATGGAGGTCAGCATCCTTTTAAAGAAAATGGAGGTCAGGGAAGGGCAATTGTAGAAAATGGAGGTCGATGCAATTTTGATCTTGGGTTCCAAGCCATAGCCACTTACTAGGAATTTCGAAGGAGAGCAAACGAGCTAGAGAAGAAAGGAAAGGAGAGATAAAAAAAAAAAAGGCTGGGTAACAGAGACTATAAGTTTGCATAACAGAAACTGATAAAGGTGTGAAGGAGTGTGTATCTATCATTGTCCAAATGGACAAAATGTAATGTATCACCTCGCCGCTGATGCCGCCTATGAGCGGTCTTGCGGCCACAGCTGTACACATGATGAATCAATATGGGACATTATGACACTTTGGGAGTGAGAGCGATGCGGAGAACTTGGTTTGGAGCACGTTTATACAACGAATGTTTATTTTATTTTATTTTTTTTAACAAATTTGCATGGGCCGGATTCAAACTGTTACCCTGAGTGGAGGAATGCACTTATATGTGGTCTGACGCCACTAGACCCAAAGGTCCAAGTGCACAACGAATGTTTGTTTTGACTTTATGAAAGTATCTATTAATTATTAATTTTAATTAAAAATTTTAAATTATAATTAATAATTAATAATTATTTATTATCAACAATCAATTATTTAAAAAAAATTAATTCGAACATATTAATAGACTTTCCAGCTCATCTTAGGTCAACGATTCCTTCATTAAAAAATTCAAAAATTCCAACTATTCTCTCTATTTAAAATTATTGTTGCATTTTGATTTTTTTTTTTTTTTTGATTGGAAAGCCATATGCGAGCTTTATTAAGATTGTAAAAACAGGAAGTACATATTCAAATAAGGGATTGATCTCCTGTTACAATATGCTCAATGGGAAATGGTATGTCATCCACCCAAAACTCATCAGCCTTAGCAGTAAGTGCTCTTCGCGCAAGCTCGTGAGCAGTAGCATTAGTAGTTCGGCGGACATGTTGTAATCGGCACGACTCGAAAGAGGCTAACAGTGCTTTGCAATCAAGAAGAATGAGGCCTAAGCTGTAGTTCATGTTGAAGGTTTCACTGGAGATTGCTGACACAATGGTTGCGCAGTCAGATTCTACTATAATTCTTCCAAATGCAAGGGATTGAGCCTGGTGAAGAGCTCTCCGTAAACTGCAGGCTTCAGCGACTTCAGGTTCCACTGCTCCCTGTACTTTGCATGCCATAGCTGCCAGCACCTTTCCTGAATCATTTCACGCCAGTGCACCCATACTGAAGGCTGCGTTTTGGACAGATGTTGCTCCATCTACGTTTTGGACAGATGTTGCTCCATCTACGTTTAGCTTTATAAAGCCCAAGTCTGGTTGGTGCCATCTAGTTTCAGTGGTCTTCTGCACTACTGCAGCTCCTCTACCTCTTGATAATACAGATTGCTTGTATTCTGTCATAAAAGTCAAGGTTTGTTGGATGATTTGCTGTGGATTAATGCCATTTCTGTTCCATAGAGCATCATTTCGACAATTCCATAAGTTCCAACACAACAAGCAAAAGAGTTCAAGTTGCTCTTTCCCCAAAATGCAGGTTGTGTTATCAAAAAAATTTGCAAAGTCATCAACCTGGAGTTCAGAGACGTGAAGGTTCAAAGGGCATCCTAACCACACTGCATGAGCAAGGGAGCATGACAAAAGGGAGTGAAAGACAAATTCTTTCTCCACACCACACATCGGACACTCTAAATCCACCTCTACCCTCTTTTTGTGAAGATTGTCCTTTGTGGGAATAACATTTTTGTAAGCACTCCAGATAAACAATCGCACCTTTTCTGGAATGTCTAAGGACCACAATCGGTTGCCGCCAAAGATTGTGGAGGATGAAGATGGCCCAGCATGATTTCTAGCCATATTAATAGCTCTATGGTACCCAGATCGTACTGTGTAACTGCCATGTTTGGTGAAATGCCATAACCAGTTATCCTCCCGTCGCATCCAACTCAACGGCATTGCTAATATCAGTTGGGCTTCATGTGCATTGAAGGTCTCGAGAACCAAATCCCTCCTCCATGAGGTTGTCTCTTCATCAATTAGCTCACTTACAAAATGAAGGGTACAACCTTCAGGCCGTGGCGATTGGACATAGAATTGCTCATTACCTGGGAGCCATGGGTCATTCCAAATTTCAGTACTGCGACCATCACCGATGAATCGTCTACAGCCTTGCTTTAGTAAGTTAGATGAATACCAGATGCTCCTCCACATAACACTACAAGGAGATTTGAGTTTTGCATGTAAAAAATTCGTACGAGGAAAATATTTGGCCTTCATGAGTCTCGTTGCCAAGGAATCAGGACATGTCAACAACCTCCAGCCCTGCTTCCCGAGCATAGACAGGTTGAATTCACGCATAGCTCGGAAGCCTAATCCTCCTGCTTTCTTCGAGGTCGCAAGCTTCCTCCATTGCATCCAATGGATTTTATGATCATCTTCCCCTCCTCCCCACCAGTATCTATTCAAGATATGCTCCAGCTCTGTGCATAAAGTTACAGGTAGAAGAAAAAGATTCATCACATAAGTTGGGAGAGACTGTAACACTGATTTTATGAGAATTTCGCGACCTGCTCTAGATTGCAGCTGTTCTCTCCACTCACTTATTCGTGCCCAAAACTTGCTCTTTAGGCCTGCAAAAATAGTTGTTCTCGATCTACCAATATAAGTAGGGAAACCGAGATAGCTGCCTGGTTGCTCGACCTTTGTCATGCCCAAGATTTGAGAGATACGACTACTTGCCCTTTGTTGTACATTGCTGCTAAAAGTAATGGAGGATTTTTGCAGATTGACCACTTGGCCAGAAGCAGACTCGTAACTCCGTAGAATAGCCGTTAAATTAGCTGCCTCAGTCTCAGTAGCACGCAAGAAGAGAAAGCTATCATCAGCAAAGAACAAGTGGGAAATTTTAGGCTTCCTACTTACAGCTTCAGTTAGCATGGCGGTGAGGCCTTCTGCACATAAAAGAAATAAGTAAGGCGATAGTGGATCGCCTTGCCTCAAGCCTCGAGTAGGAGTGATCTGCCCTGCTTCTCTACCATTTAACAGAACCTCATATTTGACTGATGAGACACAGCTCATGATTAGCCTGATCCAACCTTCAACAAAACCAACAGCTCGCATAGCTTGCTCTAAGTATGGCCATTCAACCCGATCAAAAGCCTTGCTCATATCCAACTTAACAGCCTGCCAACCCTGCTTCCTCACCTTCCTAGTTCTCATATATTGGAGGATTTCATAAGCAATCATAAAATTATCAGTAATCAACCGATTTGGCAAGAAAGCACTTTGGGATGAGCACAATATGGGTGAAAGCACTTTGTTCTTGGGAAATTACTCTCTGCAATACCATCTTAAGTCTGTTGGCTATGACCTTTGCTATAATCCTGTAAATGACATTACAAAGGCTAATTGGCCGCAAGTCAGCCATAGTTCTGGGTTCATTACACTTTGGGATGAGCACAATATGGATGAAATTCAGCTCCGACGGAAGCACACCTCTATGGTTTAAGAACTCTAGACATGGCTGTACAACATCTTCCTTCACCACATCCCAAAAACGTTGGAAAAAACCTGGTGAAAGCCCATCAAGCCCGGGGGCTTTGAAGGATGCATTTGATGCAAGGCCTTCTTGATCTCTGTTTCCATGACATTTGGAGCAGGAAAGCATTATCAGCTTCAGTGACCCGAGGGCTTAAATAGGAGGTCACTTGTTCAATATTATTAGGGGAGATAGATGAAAATAGAGAAGAGAAATAGCTTGTAGCTATGCTCTGCAACTCTGCAAATTCATACTTCCATTCACCTTTTGCATTCATCAATTTCTCTACCTCATTTTTATCTCATCTTTTAGATGCCCTCTTGTGAAAGAATCGAGTGTTTCGGTCCCCCTCCTGCAACCATATTTCTCTTGAACGCTGTCGCCACATAAGTTCCTCCCTTTCTAGCCATTCCTCTGTTTCTGCAAGCACCTTCTTCTCTTCATCTTGAGCTATGATTGAGGGGGATTTGTTTCTCAAAGATTCGAGGCTCTCTATGCATTGCTTAAGTCATGTTTGCACATGACCAAAATGAGAAGTGTTCCAACCTTGGAGATTTGTAGAACAGACATTGATTTTTTGTAGTAGACAGTTCCAGTTCCCTTCATGTACAATAGAGCTCCAACTAGATTTTACTATTTCAGTACACCCAGCATCCCGAAGCCACATATCTTCAAACTGGAATCTCTTTTTGCCTCTATTCCTTCTCTTATAATGACTATCAAGAGTAATCCATAGAAGAGAGTGATCAGAAGATAGAGAGGGCAATAGTCTGACTTCTGCACGGGGAAATAAAGCTCACCAGGTGGGCGTGGCCAGGGATCTGTCTAACTTCTCTTCCACACGTCCTCAATGCCAAGTGAAGTGGCCACCAACCATTTGTATTTTAGCTAAGTTACATACATCCACCACCTCTTGAAATCTCTGTAGCATTCACTCTGGCTGGGGGTTACCACCTAACTTCTCATCTGAGTGTAAAAGATCATTGAAGTCTCCCCCGATCAACCATGGTAGATCAGATTTAGTGGCTAATTCTCTTAAAAGTTGCCATGAACGCCTCCGATTATGTCTCTCAGGGTGGCCATAGTAGCCTGTGAAACGCCAAGTGCCAACTCCCATGCCTTCCACCTCCATATCAACGTGATTCTGAGAGAAAGAGAGTAGTGATAATTTGGTGTCAGGTTTCCAAAGCACAGCTAAACCACCACTGCGCCCTACTTTGTCCACTACAAAACAGTGAGTGAAACCCAATCTTCATCGAACTTTCTCCATATCCCTTTTATCCAGTAGAGTCTCACATAAGAACACTACTACAGGTTGCTTTAACCCCACCAATTCGATGAGGCATCGAACTGCACGAGGGTTCCCAAGCCCTCGGCAGTTCCAACAGAAGAGACTCATGATGACTGGCGAGCTTGCATAGCAGTACCCGCCGATAAGATTACAGCGTCCCCTACATCATTAGTGCCCTTTACCCGCTTTAGACCTTCGAGTTGCTCAGCCACAATGGTTTGGAATTGCTCTTCCTTCCTTTTAATTTGCCCTGAAGAAGGTGATGGATGTGGGCTCTGGTGGCGCCGTTCCCTAGCTTCCCTCTTCCAAGATCTAGTCTTTGATGGGTTGTCACTTTGGGCTGAAGAGAACATGAAGATTGAGGTTGATTCTTGGGCCTTAATAGTCAAGTTGGGCTCTTGGTGGGAATGGTTCTGTTTGCCTTCTACATCAATGAAAGTCCTTGGCCCACTTGTTTTGGAGTGTTGCAGTAAAAGGGCATCTTGCCCCTGAAGCTGTCCATATGGATTTCCCAAATTAGAAACTTCGTTGTGTGTGCTTATGATTTGCTGCAAATCCCCCAAAATATGTTGTCTCTCCATCAAATCCGCTTTGAGTTCCAAACCGACTGGGCATTCATCCAACTTACTGTGCATATTTAGGCTATTACTGCCCATTTTATTGCCCCTGATTTGTTCAGCTAGAATCTCCTTATTTCCCCGGTAATCACGGTCATTTATGCCAGCTTCCGCGTCATGACAACCGCGAGATTCCAAAACAGGCCATCTTGCCATTTTGGAAGCTAGACGTCTCCCCCGTGAGTCCTCGCCGATGGGGTTTCCGGTGGCATCACGTAGCCATCTCCCATTATTCACAATAGCCTCTTGTCTCTCACACTTTGGTACCGCCCAGAGCTTGTCATCATAAGGACGCTCTATTACTCCTATACGTTCCATTTCTAGACCCAGCTCACATTCCCGTTCAACGTGGTCCAGCATGCCACAACAATAGCAAAAATGCGAAAGGCGTTCATAACAAAAAGAAACCCAGAGCATATCACCTTTTAGAGAAAGCTTCATGCCTCGACGCAAAGGCTTCCTTGAGTCAATGAGGACTCTCACACGAATAAAATCCAAACCCCATACATGACCGTTCCCTATATCAACCTCAAGGAGATGCCCAAGCTCGACACCAATTCTTCTGCCTGTTGCTTTAGTTATCCGACTTGGAGGTATGCCATGAATTTGGATCCAGAAAGGGACCTCAAAAAGTTCATCCTTGGACACTAGTGTCCCCCCCTGAGCCTCTTTCAGGACCATGACGTGATTGGCAAAGCACCAAGGACCCGCTACCATCACACGATTCATGTCTACTGGATGAAAAAAATAAAGAGCAAAGTGGTTGTAACCCAGGATTCTCATATGCATACCCTTTACCGGTCGCCAAACCCCAGCCAGTGTGGACTCCATCGCTTCCATATTATAGCGCTTCCGGGTCAAGACTGGACCGACAATGCACCACTTTGAGGTTCCTTCCTTAGGTTCATGACAGTTTCCATCATCCAAATCAAGCCCAACATCTTCCTCTGCTGTCAAAGATAATTGCTTTCCCGGTGCTGCCATCAGAGCCTTCACGTTGGATTCAACCATCAAGACAAAACTACTAGCACCACACAGCCACCGCGCTCCCACCTTGAGGAGAAAAGAAACACTCCCAAGACCTAGGAGAAAAAACTTATAAGTAAAAAATATTTTTGAACACATATTCTTTATTTTCACTTATATGATAATAAATATATTACATTAATTTTCTACTATTATTATTATATTATTTAACAATAATACAATATTTAAATATGAAATTCACTTTTTTATAA